TCTATGTTTTTTTTCAACGCCAGCTAGTATTATTATTATTTTTTTAAAATTTTATTTATTTCTAGGAGAGAGAGAGAGAGAGAGACAGCATGAGCAGGGGAGGGTCAGAGAGGGAGGGAGACACAGACTCTGAAATAGGCTCCAGGCTCTGAGCTGGCAGTCAGCACAGAGCCCGATGCGGGGCTTGAACCCACGAACCGTGAGATCATGACCTAAGCGAAAGTCGGACGCTTAACCGACTAAGCCACCCAGGTGCCCCCCAGCTAGTATTATTACTATGTGGTTCTAAAGTCCAGTTCGGACATCTTACTTATATCTGTATTAAGTTTCCTGTTCTTTCTTTTAAGGTGAATTTCTTCATTTTGTCATTTTGTAGGAAGAAAAAGTATCAATAAGAAAAGTTTAAAAAATTAAAAACAACACACACACACACACACACACACACACACACACACACACAAATAAAGGAAGCTAGATCCTACATGTGTTTTGGTCTGGTTGTTGAAAGAATCTTGATAGAATAGAGAAAAAAGGTAAAGAAAAGAAAAAGAAGTAAAAAGTTTGAAAATTTTAAAAATGTGTATAATAGGGGCATAGGGGCGCCTGGGTGGCTTAGTCGGTTAAGTGTCCGACTTTCGCTTAGGTCATGATCTCGCGGTTCGTGGGTTCGAGCCCCGCATCGGGCTCTGTGCTGACTGCCAGCTCAGAGCCTGGAGCCTGTTTCAGTCTGTGACTCCCTATCTCTCTGACCCTCCCCTGCTCACACTGTCTCTCTCTCTCCTAGAAATAAATAAAACATATTAAAAAAATGAGTATAATAAAATAGAATAAAATGAAGAAAGTGAAATAGCATAAAAAATTTACAAAAAAAAAACGTAGTAAAAAGAATCAACATTTTTTTAAAAAATAAAGGAAAATAGGAGCACCTGAGTCGCTCAGTCAATTGAGCATCCGACTTCAGCTCAGGTCATGATCTAACGGTTTGTGGGTTTCAGCCCTGTGTGTTAGGCTCTTTGCTGACAGCTAGCTCAGAGCCTGGAGCCTGTCTTTGGATTCTGTGACTCCCTCTCTCTTTGACCCTCCCCTGCTCACACTGTGTCTATCTTTCTCTCAAAAATTAAAGTAAAACATTAAAAAAAAAAGAAAATAAAAATAAAATTTTCTTTCTGTATCTGAGAAAAAGAAAAGGAGAAAGAAAAAAATGGATAGACAAGCAAACAGAATAAAACCAGAATGAAGTTACATCCAGTTTCCCCTGGAACTTAAACTATGATTATGAAACACTTTATAGCCCACCATTAAGCAGGTGGAGAGACTTGTGGTGGTCCTGTAGGACATTGGCTAAGAGGGTGCACTTGCCGGGTCTTTGTGTAATGGCTCTGTTCTCCACTAGGTGGCCCTGCTTAGTTAGGGTGGGTCAGTGTGGTGTGCCTGCACATGTATGTGCGTGTGTGGGAGGTGTGAAAATGGTGTCACCCAGCTTCCTAGTTTCTGGCACTGGAACTCTGCGCTTTCACCAACCCACAATCAAGCACCCCTCCTTTATCTCAGGCATCTTTCCACTCCCTGCTTCTCCACTATGTCCAAGTTGTCAGCCTTCCAGGTGGCACCTCCCTCCTGAATTTTATCTCAGATGGTGCTGTGTTTCCAAAGCCCTCACTTCTGAGAACTCTGTGGCTTGGCCCCACTCTTACCCTCTGGGGGAGGGTCTTACTGAGCAATGGCCAGGTGCCGGCTTGCCCCAGGGAACGTTTGTGCCATTGCACTGCAGCAGAAGTTCAGGGATTTTGGCAAACCACAACACAGCCTGCGTCAGGTTTCAGTGCACTCTGGTGTCTGTCCTAGTACTAGCAAACATGGCTGCTCTCTGGGGTCTGCTGGGACCTTAACCTCTAGGGAGGCCGTATGGCCTCTACCAAATGTCCTCTAAGCAGGGGAACTGCTTTTCCCTGTGTGGCCCACAGACCCCTCAGACCTAGCTGCTTGCTCCTTGGGGACTTACCCTTCTTCCCCACCAAAGCATCACCAGGTATTGAGCTCTGGAATTTCCCACTCTGAGCTACCATTTATAGAGTCCTAATGGTATTGAAATCCTCTCCTTTCTCCAGACAATGGTTGGGGGAAGATTTCTTGTTCAGTCCCTTGTGAGTGTTTCCACTTTTTCTCTCCAGCTATTTTTGAGGGGAGTACTTTTCCTGCACTCTTCTCCCCCTGTCTCCTTTCTCTGTTCTCTGCAAAAACAGCTCCCTACCCTCTGTGATTACTCTCTCTCTTCCCTAGTTCACCTCTTCACACCATGTACCTGCTGAGTTCTGTGGCTCAAGTTATGCAGATTGTTGTGTTAATCCTCAGATCAATTTCCTAGGTATGCAAAGTGGTTTGGTGCTGCTCTAGTTGGAATTTCAGGGATGAGAGAGGCTGAGAAGTTGCTCTGCCATCTTGCCCTCTCCCATCTCTCCTATGTCTTCTTATAGAAGTATTAAAGCTTCAGGTCCTAACATCATTTATCTATTATTATTATTATTATTATTATTATTTTAAACTCTGTATCTAATGTGGGGCTTGAACTTACAACCCCAAGATCAAGGACCAGCTAGGTGCCCTTCAGGTCTTAATATTTAAATATTTACTCCATTTTGAGTTGATTTTCGGGTATGGTATAAGGGTCTAGTTTTATTCCTTTTTATGTAGATATTTTTGGTTGTCACAACTGAGGGGTGGTAGTGCTAGTGGCATCTAGTGGATAGATGCCAGTGAATATTCTACGATGTGCAGAATAGACCCCCACAAGTAAAATTTAGTCCCTGAAATAAATAGGGCCAAGGTTCAAAAACCCTGCTGTAAGGGTGCCTGGCTGGCTCAGTTAGTAGAGCATGCAACTCTTGATATCAAGGTTGTGAGTCTGAGCTCCACATGGGGTGTAGAGAGTAGTTAAAATCTTTAAAAACAAAACAAAAAGAAAACCCCTGCTATAAAGGAAAGAGCTAGACAGAGATATGGGATCAAAGGAGGAACTTCATTTTTCAAGAGATGAAAGAATCTTGAGGTTACTTGGGTAGTGAAATGGGCCCCTGTAGACAAGGAAAGAGGTTGTGAAAATTGGTATAGACCTTCTTGGAGGGCAAAAATCAGAACATTTCTAACATTAACAAGCTATTCTATTCAAATACTTGCACATGTACACTAAGATATTTACTCCTAGACATTCATTAGTGTTAGTAACAAATTGAAAGGCTTTGGAACCAATTTCACAATGTGTATGTGTGTTTCCCCACACATCCAAGGAATTCTTGTGACACCAGCAGGGTGTCCTACAACTTAACTAAATTCTCATACTAATACCAGGAAAGAGTATCAGATTCCACAGGTTAAGGGCTCAGTCCAACAAGACTTCCCCACCCCTCTTCAAATGCCACTTATAAGCCCTATGCTTCTGGCAGACTGACCTGCTATAGGTTGGAGGTTCCAATGCCGCCTGTCTTGGGTTTGATTAATTTGCTTAGAGCAGCTCAGAGAACACACACATTTTACTTACTAGATTATTGGTTTATTATAAAAGGATGTAAGTCAGGAACAACCAGATGGAACAGGTGCTTAGTGCAAAATATGTGGGAAGAGGTGAGGAGCTTCTATGCTATATGCAGGTATGTCTCTCTAGCAGGACTTATATGTGTTGACCCACCTGGAAGCTCTCCAAACCATATAAGAAATTCCATATTACATGAGCACGATTAAATCATTGGCCATTGGTGATTAATTCAATCTCTGGACATTTTACCCTCCCCTGAAATCAGGGGGGTGGGACTGAAAATTCCCTTTGCTGTTTATGGTTGGTTTCCCTGGCATCACCAGTCCCCATCTGTAGGTGCTTTCCAAAATCCACCTTGTTAACATAAGTCTAGTGGTGGTGGAAAGGAGTTTATTATGAGTAACAAAACCCCTGTTTTTGCCTTTATGGTTCTGAAGGGATTTCAGGACCTGAGGACAGGAGACCAAATATTGAAGAAAAAAAAAAAAGGCCTCATTGCTCTTATCACTCATGAAATTCCAAGTGTTTTAGAGAGATAAGAGCCAGAAACTGTGGATGAAGACCAAATGTACATGAGAAATATTATTTTGGTCATCTGAATATTCATGTAGGGGCCAAGGCCAGGCTGTCCCAAGATGGGCCACTTTGACATGAATGTTATTTTGAGTTAAAAGCAATAGAAACCCAGAAGATTCAGGAAAAGCTCTTTACCTCCCCCTCAACTGCCTGCCTATACTAGGAAGAGAACCATTAACAGAGGTTCTTCTTTTTCTAAGATATTTATTTGTATAATAGGGCCATCTTTGTTTTCTAAAAATCTCTCACCTCACTGCTGTCTTGCTCAGCCCCCTACCCTCTCCTTAAATTATATTGCTTCACTGTCTTTGGATTTCATACGTAGGAACTATATTTGATCTTCTCTTGTTAATCTGTCTCATGTCAATTTGATTTTTTGGTCCAGCTATAAGGACCTTGAAGGGCAGGGAACATTCTTCCTCCACAATGACCAAATACATACTTCTCAGAAGTCACCGTATCACAGAAGATAAATAGGAAACAACTGTACTGCACAAAGAATGGTTAAATGGTTATGTGGCACATTCCAACCAGGAATTTTGTGGCCATTTAAAGCTTGTAGCAAGCTGTAAGACTGTCAAGATATAGTAAGATGAAGTCATAGAATAGTATTCATGGTGTTACTAAGTTATATAAAACTATTTAAAAAAACCTGTGACTGTGTTTGGTAGTGTATTTTTAAAAAGATCTTGAAGGCTCTACCAAACCATTTTAAGTAGATAGACTCTCCTTTCACTTACTACTCTGTAATGACTCTGAATTGGGAACTTTTTATGAGCATGTGTTACTTTTATAATTTTATTTTATTAGATTTTTCTTAAGTAGACTCCATGCCAAATGTGGGGTTTGAACTCAAGACCCTGGCATCAAGTCACATGCTCTACTGAGCCAGCCAGAAGCCCCTGCTTTTATAATTTATAACAGCTTTTAAAGCTGGTGGCAACAGAGAAGTTGAAAGAAAGAGTCTGAAGACAAGAGTGTGATGGGAAAGGAGGAAAATCCCAGAGGGAGCAGGAACAGATAATGATCATAGCATAAGTAGCAGCAGGAGTAACTAACATTCATTTATCAATTGAAATGTTCCAAACTGTTCTAAATGCTTTACAAGTATCAGGTCACTTAATTCTTGATGATTCTGTGAGGTATATATTATGTCAAGGAAATGGTGGCACAGAGAGATCAGGCAACTTGCACAGTCTGATAGCTCACGGATGGTGCAGTTGGGATTCAAAACAAGGCAGTCTGGATCCAGAGCCAGCACTCTTAATCACTGCCCTCTACTGCTGGCTGAGAGTTGGGGTCCAGAGCACAGGTGGAGGCTGGCCTAACAGGAAGAGAAACTTGATTAAACCACTGTATTAATTTTCTATTGCTGCATAGCAAATTGCCACAAACTTAATGGCTTCAAACATGTATTATCATACAGGTCTGTGGATCATAAGTCTGAGCAGATTCCACTGGGTTTTTGGCTTAGAGTCCCGTAAGACCAAAATCAAGATGTCAGCAGGGTTGGACTCCTTTATGGAGACCCTGGGTAAAGATTCTTTCCTTTGGCTGTAGGACAGAGTACCCCATTTCCTTGCTGTTGTTGGTCAGGGGCCTCTAATGTGTCTGCTGCATTCCTCACCTTGTAGCCCCCTGTAGGCCTGTCATCTTTAAATCAGCAATGGTACAAAGGAATGGAATCTGAGTTCCTATTCCTTCCTATCCAGAGTTTTCTCTGGCTGTTCTTATTTGTTTCGGAACACCCAGATAATGTCCCTGTCCTTGTAAAATAATCTAATTATGAAAGTAAAATTTTCATATTAATAGTCGTGGAGATAAGTGGGGAGAAATGTTGGGACCATTTTAGAATTTTGTCTACCACAACTGATGATAGATTGGTGGGATGTCTTGGTGAAGGGAGGTCTGAGGGCTTGTAATGCCTTCCTGGATAGGAGTGGAAAAATGCTCCTTTGAAGGTAGATGCTTGAGAATTAAGGTTTGAGTAGGTGACTAACACATTTTTGGTTTGCTAAAATTTGGGTCAGCTTTATGGGCTCAGTGGAGTTTGGAGATGATGAATTTGTGGGGGTACCAATCTACATAGCTGTGTGATTTTTCTCTAGTAGTCTGGGTACAGATGCAGAAGAGGTTTGAGGTCTTTCTGCGAAAGCTGGGCAAAAGGACCACAGGTCAAGGGAGATGACAGGCTTAAGTGATGGACTCTGGGCTTTAGGCCAGAAACAAAAGACAGACAAAACCAGAGTGAAGGAATAGAGACAGCAGTTACCTTGCAGGGCTGTAGGAGATGGTCAGACTTCCAGTTATAGCAGGAAGTGGAAGAAGACTCAGTAAGAGGTTTAGGATACAGAACAGTGGTTCCCCAAGTGTGGTTCTCAGACCAGCAGTGTTAGCATCATTTGGGGTCTTGTTAGGAAAATTCCCAGGTTTACCACAAACCTAATGAATTAGAAACTCTGGAAGTCCAGGAGCACAGTAATCTGTTTTAACAGGCACTGTAGTAGGTATTGATGCTCCAAGGCTTGAGAATCATTGACGTAGTCTTTCATATTGTTTAAGAATGCTTTTATTGTCAATAGGTTTCCAGAGGGATAGTAAGAAATTCCTAGAAGAAGAGAAGAGTAGGAGACTAGTAGGAAACACTGAGACATAACGGGAGAGGACAAGTGGCCTATGTTCTGCATGCTGACCTAGGATGCCAAGGATAAATGTAAAAGATGCATGGGTTAACTGGCCTTAGAATTCTCAGAAATAACAAGCCTAAGCCTGCTGATTCCAATCCGGACCAATGTGTTACTGAGGTACTGCTATTTCAAGGCCAAGACTGGGAGCATTTATTGATGAGTAGGAAATGGGTCCATTCTGGGACTGGATTGGCTGTTCTCAACCTCCAGGGAATGAGTCAGAAATGGGAGAAGAGTTACTGGGGCCCTGAAAACAGCAACAGCCCCTGCTCAAGAGGAAGGGACACCTCTGAGCAAGCTCTATCTCCATATGGTTCAGTAGAAAACAAGACTTACTCTCCCTTGCCTGCAGGCACCACTCTGATGGGAGCTGCTTTTGCTGTGGCACAAAGAGCACAGGAAGGCTGTGCTTAACTAACAGGAGGATGGAGGAAGTGTGGGATGTATTTTGGGATGTGGGTAGCTGACCCCATATAATAATTCCCCTATATTCTTAAAAACATTATGATTCAATGACTGTTGGAAAAATCTTAGGACTCAGTTAAGATCTAAGCAAGTGAAAAACAATGTAGCCACACAAGATTTTTTCATTGCTGTTACAGGAACCTCTCCTCATCAATTAACATACCATCTCAGATGATGCAGTTTATGGTGCAGCAATGCCAAATGTACTGGATATTAAAATAATCCGCTTTATACTGTTAAAAAAAAGTGTACACACGGCTGTGTATGTCATTTGTGTAAAAAAACCCCCTATATTTGTGATATACAAACATTTCTGGAAGACAAAACAAGAATGTGGTAAAACTGGGAGCCTTTGGGGAAGGGAAATGGGTAGCTGAGGGAGAAAAGAAAGAAGAATTTTCACGATTAAAATTACGTGAAATTACGTACCTTTTAAATTTGGAGCACATGCATGCATTATTCAGAAATAAAAATTAACTACATTTTAAAAATAAATAATGAACTTTTATTATGCTGACCACAGAGACAAGCCCCGCCTAGAGTCTCTGGGGATTCTGGGAACTCGCCTGGGGAGGGGAAGGCTGCAGCAGCACCTGGAGGGAGATTCCTCAGAAACTACCCCCCAGGCCCGCCCCCCTGTCAGAGGCAGCTCAAGGAGTCACAAACTGCAGGAGCAGCAGGAGGAAGACAGTGACCAAAGCTTTCCTGCCTGAAATCAGCCACCATCCAGAGCCAGTGCCCTGGCAACACACAACTCACCCTCCGGGGGGCATGTCTTCACCAGAAGGCAGGTGGGAATTCGCACGTGTGACACCGAATGCCCTGCTCTCTCAGGGCCTCCGAGTCCTCCCCGATTCCACCCCCTCTGGTCCGGGGTCACTGTGTCTGATTTTGAGAGGAGAATGTGGAGTAAGTCCAGTCCTCGTCAGTCTGAGTCTGAACTGTCATTCGACTTGGAAGACTTATGCTTTCGTTTCTTCTTCTTCTTCTTTTCTTTTTTCCTTTTCTTATGCTTTTCTTTCTTCTTCTTTTTCTTGTGTTTCTCTTTACATTCTGAGGAGCTGGAGCTGCTCCCATCTTCATCGGAGGTGGAATCCTCCAGTAACTGTTTTAACTGCTGTATCCTAAACATGGAAGTTTGACCAAAGAACCATATTTAACTTAAAAAAATTGCAGATAACAATGATGAAGAGCAGCAGTGAGGGTAAAAAATGTCCTGAATAACCACCTTGCTGAAGACGGTCCTTATTTTTATTTGTGCATGGCTTCCCCGTTCTTGTCCACAGCCATGCCTATCTGACAGTACTGTAACCAGTGTACAGCCATTCTGCATTCTTTTCATTGTCCTAAATATTTCTGCATGTGTCTCGAGTCCTTACTACATAACTTGTAACAGATGTCTACTTTCCTTACTCACCGCCCCCAACTGCTCAAGTAATCTACTTCCTCAAAACAATTATTACTCAGAGTTGCTGGTTTGAGAAAAACAAACTCTCCCGTTTCTTCACTCTATCTTTGTTCATGTCTAAGGATAGTTTTTGACAATAGCTCAGATCCTTGAAGACACTGGAGAAGATAAACTAAACTATGGTTGCCAACATCAACTGTGTGATAAGCAGGCTGGGCCAAGGCCACTGCTTTAAGCTAACCCAGATAGAACAAAGCTGGCCTGCTCATTCCCCACACACTAGCCTTTCCAGTGATCACTCCTGCCTTCCACATATTTCACAACTAAATTAAAGTACCAAATCACTTGTCTAATACCAGAATGGGTGCTTACAACTTTATATAAGAATGTATTATTATCACCAGGACCACCTCACCTTATGTCTTTTTCATGTCTTTTATTCTCTCGTATGATGTCATACATGGGATCTTCATGTGCCTTGAGGGTTAGAGAAGGGTAAAGTTGGATTAGGTCTTCATGGACTGTTAAAGTAAAATTAAATCTGTATTTCACTGAAACCAGTTTTTTTTTTCCTGTTTGGTGTAATTTTATATTAAAAATGTTCTAATTCTTCTTTAAAGGTCACCATCACTTCAAACTCATGGAAGTTTCAAAAAAGATTTTCCAATTCTACAAATATAATTTGATAAAATATAATCTAAATAGTCTTTTACAGGATATAAACCATTGCAGAATCATTATTAAGTGTTATTCAAGGTTAGAAGTATTGAAGCAATTCTATGTGAACAGATGATCAAGAGATATTTTAAACAAAATAAGTTGGAAAATGATATGTAAGAATTATTCAATTACAGGTGCACAAAAACATATGTATATGCCCAAAAAGAAATGTAGAAGTATACTCATCAAGCTACTTTATGCATTTTCATAAATGTAGAGAGGCAGTATCAGATTTGAAAAATCAATTTTGAAAAGCTCCAGTGTAACAGGTCAATTTTATTAAATAAAGCAAATGTATTCTTGTAACATTTGTATAATTTAAAATACTTAGAATATGACTACACATATACTGAATTTTGTGGTATGTCAATTATCTTTAAAAAGGTTTAGTAAAAATTTTACATATTAAAGAGAAAAAAGCTAAAAATGTCTATATTTGTACCATTCAGAGAAATCCATTGCTAACATTTTAGTGTCGTTGTTCCAGTCATCATTCATAATTTACAAAAACTTATATGTACAACTCTATTCTCTTTTTCACTTAAAGATTTTATTTTTAAGTAATCTTTACACCCAACATGGGGGTCAAACCTACAATCCTAAGATCAAGAGTCGCATGCTTTTTCAACTGAGACGGCCAGGCTCCCCATCTTTTTCACTTATATTTTCATGAGCATATTCCTATGATACTACACATTCTTCTAAAACATGATTCTTAAAAGCTGTATGACTTATCTGTTACAGTACTTATGTTGCTGTGCTGGTCACTGCAGTTTCCTATTTTTTCTTTTTTTTTTTTTAATGTTTTATTTATTTCTGAGAGAGAGACAGTGTGAGCAGCGGAGGGGCAGAGAGAGATGGAGACACAGAATCTGAAGCAGGCTTCAGGCTCTGAGCTAGCTGTCAGCACAGAGCCTGACGTGGGGCTCGAACCCATGAACCGTGAGATTATGACCTGAGCTGAAGTCAGATGCTTAACCGACTGAGCCACCCAGGCACCCCTTTCCTATTTTTCTTTACTCTACTTTTCAATCATATAAATAATTCTAAATAATCCCTTATAGATTAATAAAAATTTGTATACATTGATTTTTGTTATACCCTTAGGATCTATTCTTAGAATTTGGATTTCTGAATTAAAAATACATGAATTTGTTCATTTTTTTGAGAGTTATGACCAATTTATCTGTTACAGGAACTGTAAAAATTGCCATTCTAGGGAGCATTGATTTAACCAGAATATTTTCTTCAAATTTTTAAATGAAAGCACAAGTTTTAAATGTCTTAAAATCCCTGGCAAATGTTTGTGGACTCCAGTTTGATATCTGGTGATAATCCCAATCTATCTGATAATAGCACAGTTGAATTGACTGAAACTAACTGAATTAATAGTCGTTGGAGGTGAGTGTTAAAACAAAGTGGGGAAGGGGTGCCTGGGTGGCTCAGTCAGTTAAATGTCCAACTTCGGCTCAGGTCAGGATCTTATGGTTTGTGAGTTCGAGCCCTGCATCAGGCTCTGTGCTGACACCTCAGAGCCTGGAGCCTACTTCAGATTCTGTGTCTCCCTCTCTCTCTGCCCCTTTCCTGCTCACACTTTGTCTCTCTCTGTCTCTCAAAAATAAATGAATGTCAAAAATAAAAAAGTGGGGTAATGACAGATCTATTTTACTGTTAAGAAAGATCTATTTTACTGTTATATAAAGACAGATCATTTATACACACACTTCTACTTTATAATAGAAAGATATTTAATTTTTAGACAAAGACTGGGCAACTAGAATGATCATTTTGATTATGAAACAAGATAATAAGTAAAAAGTGACTGAATACATAACAATGTCTTTCGGAAAGAGAAATCAGTGTTCCCAAGGCATAAGCAAGTAACACTTTAATGAAAGTTAATTTTTTGTTAATGAACTAATCTATTACACAAATTCAGTTTAAGAGAGATGTAGTTAACAGTAGATACTTTGGCCAAAAGGCTCTGGGAATGTATTTCATGTTAACCTTCAGTTCACTGGTAACTGTCTGAGTCACTGACAGTTATTCTCCATCTTTGGTAAACGTAAATTGAAACTCAAGAGTTTTACTTACTACTCTGAACTGTTCTAACTTTTGATTGCCTTTGATAAAGAAAGGACATTCTTTGTCGCCTGTTCGGTGACCATACCGTTTACAACGCCAACCTAAAACAAAGAAAAGGGATATACTTCTGTAAGGTAATGCAGTTTTACTTAATTAAGATAAAGTATCAATAGATCATACTAAAGATATTCTTCATTAGATTCCAATTTCTAAAGCAAATGCAATTAGCGGATGAACCATGTTAAGATACCTGAAAATTAAAAAAAAAAAAAAAAGATACCAGAAAATTGAGAGAAAACAATTTGCTTCCTCAATCATCCTTTAATCTTGGGTTTTAGAAACGAGCCAAGTAGAGGTGCCTGGGTGGCTCAGTCGGTTAAGTGTCCGTCCGACTGTGGCTCAGGTCATGATCTCATTGCTATGAGTTCGAGCCCTGGGTCAGGCTCTGTGCTGACAGCTTGGAGCCTGGAGCCTGCTTCAGGTTCTGTCTCCATCTCTCTGCCCCTACCCTGCTCACGCTCTCTTTCTCTCAAATATAAAATCAAACAAACAAAAGGAAATGAGCCAAGTAGTTACTAAGCAATCCTGTGCTAAAAGCAAAGTGATTTTTTTTTTTAATAGTGTGTTATAGGTTGAACTGTGTTGCTTCCTCTACCCTGTTCCCCTGTTATGTTGAAGGTTCCTCAAAATGTGACCTCATTGAGAGACAGGATCTTTAGAGAAGCCTGGGACAGATCCTTCCTTCACAGCCCTCAGAAGGGATCAACACTGCTCACACCCTGACTGCAGACTGATAGTCTCCAGAACTGTGACACAATAAATTTCTGTTGTTTAAGTCACTTGAGAGCCTCTTCAAAAATGAAAGACAAGGATGAAAAAACAAATAGAAAACACCAATTTGGAAGAAATAAAAACATAATAAGCAAAAGAAAAAATTAACATCCTTAGAGAACATATTGCAACAACAGAATAAAAAATCATAGAAGAAGAAAGAGATTTTGGAATTGAAATAAAAATCTTAACTGAAGGATTGGCAGATATGTTGATGAAATAGTCTAGAAAGCAGAAAACAAAAATAGGACAGAAAAGATCAGAAATTAGAAAATCATTCTAGGAAGCTCATCGGTTGAGCTCTAGCCCCACATCTGGTGAACTTGAGTCCCACTTCGGGTGAGCCCCACCTTCTCTCCCTCTCTCTCTACCCCTCACTCACTTGCACCTTCTCTCTCTCTCAAAAAATAAAACAAAATAAAAAACTCTTCTATAATAAGAAGTCAAAAGATAATGAAGCAACCTGAAAAATCAAGAAGCAGGAATATAATTCAGATACATGGAGATAAACTTCAAAATACTATTTTTCCTCAAGTTTTACTTAAGTAATCTCTATACCCCATGTGGATCTTGAACTCACAACCCTGAGATCAAGTGTCCCATGCTCCTTTGCCTAAGCCAGCCAGGCGCCCCCCAAATAATCTTCTTAAAAGACATTTACATGGTTACCTTTAGGGTGAGGTGAATGGGGCATAGAAACTAGGAACTATTATTTTAATTATGTGCATGATGAATCTTTGTACAAAAAGTGTCTTTAAAAGACAGCAGTACCCTTTCTTCAAATACCAAATACCATTAAGCTGGATGAAGGTGTTGCGGCTCTGGGGAGATGGGGGTGTGCACTCCTGCTCTGGACCCCCTCTCTGTGGCTGCGGCTCCTTTCAGGTCACACGGATGAAACCTTAACATCACTGATGGGGGGTGAATGACTGAGGCAAGACCCAAAGGGACCTGCCCTCCAATGCATCCCTGTCCCTCGTGGCATTTCTGCAATGGAAATTCTTTCTGTTACTTGAATATTACCGAGGTGTGTACTCCAAAGGCAGCTACGGTCCTGTGGGCAACCACTGCCCTTGGGAGTGAGACTTGCTCTGCCTCTTACGTCGGACACTCACTAACATATGCAGGTCGGCTTCCTTAACTATGAAACAGAGATCATGCCTCGGCTTAGCAGGGCTTGGTGAGAAAAAAACAAAAAGGAAGTAAACACACTTTGTAAGTCGTGGTGTGTAAGTTGTGTGTACTGAGGAGTGTTACCTGAAACTCTCCCATACTCACACTGCATAACTTTGACTTCCTTCCCCAGGGGCATCCAAAGTCCTTTAGTTGGTGCGTGAGCCAGAAATTCCCTGGCATGTTCGTTGCCTGGTACATCTGGTATACAGTCTTCTGGCTTAGTCTCATCTTCCTAAAAAAGGAAAAACGTGTACACAACGTGGCAAAAGAACACTGGAATTCTCTCCTACCTCCTTCAGAATGCAGCCCTGCCTGACTCTCACATGGGCTGGACATGCCCATGTCATTCTAAGTTACCCTCTCTGGTAGAAAGAAAGACAAATTATACCTGACAGAAAACCCAGAAATAAATGTACCAGAAGAACTAGATCATGAAAATGATATAGCTATTCTTAGAGAAATATTACTAGTTATTATTCACATAGGAATGTTCTGAGCTCCAAATTCTGACTCTAGGTCAAAAAAATTAGATTCTAAAATCAAGAAATTTTCTGCTAACTTAAAAACCTTGTGGAGTGAGGCAAAGTGTAGAATTATGTAAGATTTTCTGAAATGATAAAAATAACATGTTAAATTAAAAAAAATTATTATACCATGGAGTTCACGGTCATGTTTTACAATCTCACATATGCTGTATTTATGAAATGTACTTTCATCACCAAATAAGTTCATTACACAATTAAGGTGTTATTTATATGTATTTTTACCTTCTGATTTGTTTCAGTTCGTGTGAATATTAAATTTATAATGAAAGAAGGTTTTCTAAAGATCTTTTCATTGAAAGTGAGCAAGCAGAAAGTTGCTCTGGCCTCTAACAAGTTCTCTAAGTCCCACACCAGGGGCTGGACTGGAGGAGATTCCAGTCTCCTCAGAGAACAGTAGTGTTCGATGACACTCAGGAAACCAGCAGTGAGTCCGAGATGGAGCACAGATCTGGGAGAAGACGCAGCCACAGCAAGGGACAGAGAAGGGGACCAATCGCTGAGGAACACGTGGGCCTGCCATTGTTTCTTAGGGAACAGACACACAGCTGATTACATTTCTATAAGGACACAGGCTGGAGACACAAAGCCCAAAGTGTACGGACTGACTGGCATCTGCAGGGAGAAGCAGGGTTATGATAAAAGGCTGGTCCAAACTTTATGCAACAGGTTTTCATAACAAGTTACTGAGTCTGAGCACTGAGTCAAATATGTCTGAGAGAATAACCAAAGGAACAAACTTCACACTGACCTTGATAAGCCCAGGAGGAGGTTTTTCATAACTAAAAAGGAAAAGAAAAAATACCATCAATTATGTTAACAGGAACATAATACATTTTAATGAGCAAAAAGCAACTGCAGGCCAAAATGAAAAGAATATCTTTAGTAAAACCTTAAAACTACGTTAGATCTAAAGCAGTAAAATATGCCCAGCAGTCAGAGATCTTATATAAGTAAACTGATGTTACACCACATCCTGCAGAGATCTAGCACTAAAATTCACTGAAATAATAACTTGGTGTCTGAGCCCAATGACTTTATTTGTGAAGAAGAGAAAGCAAGAGATTGCAGGGGAAATGTGCGGGAAGACACGTGAGCTAATCATGCTTCCGGACTGTCACTGTTGTCAGGTTACTGACTTACCATAACCTGCACTTACTCAGCATGGAAGATGCTTATGGGGAGAAGGTGGAGGAATCTGTTCTAACTTGGATGGGGCAGTGCAGCGGGGCACGAGCGAAACTGGAGGGAACGGCTTGTTGCAGGGGATGGAGGTGACGGTGATCTGTCCTAGAGGCTTCCCCTCCATTTCCCTGCCCACCCACCCTGCCCGCAGAGTGAGCCATCCATTCCTCCGCTTTGTGCCTGTACTGACTGGACTCGGGGCGCAGGACCCCTGCACGGGGCCTGGACGACACTCTTTACTGAATGCTGCTAGAGGAAGCAGATGTATGATATGTGGGAATCACCAAGGAGCTCACAGACCCCCAAGGACCTTAAGGGTAAAGACACATCATGCCTATGCTCCCGATTCATTTTCACTTCCTATCACTCTGTCGAAGTGCCCCAAAAGGGTTCTGAATTCCAAATCTGGAAAATCAACACCAAATGCTAATGTTCATTTAAAAAATTGTTTTTTTTGGTTTTTTTTTTTAAAATTTTTATTTCTAGGAGAGAGAGAGAGAGAGAGAGAGACAGCGTGAGCAGGGGAGGGTCGGAGAGAGAGGGAGTCACAGACTGAAACAGGCTCCAGGCTCTGAGCTGGCAGTCAGCACAGAGCCCGACGCGGGGCCTGAACCCACGAACCGCGAGATCATGACCTAAGCGAAAGTCGGACGCCCAACCGACTAAGCCACCCAGGCGCCCCTAAAAAATTGTTTTTTAGGTTGAGATACAATTCACATATAACATTATGTTTAGGTACAATCATGTTCATTTTTAAGTACTGTCACACAACTGGCTATCAAACACACTGGACACACCCCCTTCCCTCAACAAAAAAAGTAGCAATTGAAAAATCAAACAGAACAACTGAACATCTTAGATCTTGTTAATATAAAAAGACTCTATAAATAATATTTTGACAGAGGGGATCTGAGCAAGGCTGGTTTAAAATTGTGATTTGAGAGGCACCTGTGTGGCTTAGTCAGTTGAGTGTCTGACTCTCGATTTTAGCTCAGATCATGATTCCAGGGTCAGGAGTATGGAGCCCCATGTTGGGCTCTGCATTGAGCATGGAGCCTGCTTCAGATTCTCTCTCTCCTTCTGCCCCTGCCTGTCCCCAGCTTATGCAATCAATCAATCAATCAATCAAAGTTGTGTTTTGACTCTAAAAGCCTGGAAATGCAGGAGTCCCCAAACTGCTGCACATAGGTGGTGAGCTCAGAGATGATTAGTTTTCTGGATTTTGTTTAGTGAAAATGTCTTACTTTTAGCACAAGGAAAACATTAATAAATGTTAAAATGGTAAATCATTTATCTAATAGTCAAATAGATATTGGTTATCCCAAAAGGAATGTAGGACAATATCCAAAACAGTTTAAGTTAACAACAACAATAAAAAGAATAGTGTAAAGTATTTGGTGTGCTTCCATTTGTGTATATGGGGAAAAGGAGACTGTATGTACATATGTATAAACACAGATATGCCTTGTTATGAATAGCAGACCTCTGGAAGGGTGCTGAGGGAAGGACCTTTATTTTTCATGATATTTATTTACATGTAAATATATCACCTCAAGTTTTTTCATTACACACACACAAAATGAAATTCATGGCATTTTCCTTATACCTATGTTGGCTAAAGCCCAGGCGAATTTCCCTCTGAAAGGAAAACCAAAGGTAATTTGAGATATTAAAGAAAAAAGGGCCAAAAATATGCTATTAGCAGCTCCCTTCTGTTATAGAGTTATATAGGCTCCATTTTTGTTTTAAAATTTTAGTGTTTTTTTCTGTAATTTTTTTCAAGAACTAAGTCTCCACTCTAGCTCTATTTAACTTGGTATTTTCCTCCTAACAAAAAAGAATGGGTAAAATAGGGGAAACTAAACTTATCAGGCAATATTGAAGATTCAACTTAAAAACTTACTCCTTGCAGAAGTATCCATCCAGTCAACAGTTATGCCATGCATAGTGCTAAGTATCAGAAGAGAGAACTAAGGGCATGGAAAACTTGCTTTTGCCCAAAATCCCTAGGAAGAATGAAGCACTGCACTCAATCCATGGATTTATTTCCTTGAGTAAAGAAAATCAAACTCATTACTAAATTGCATTATTTCTGTTATTTGATTCTCTGTATAACTGTGCAACTGTCTTGATAATGAAGATGTTTTGGTTTTTTTGAGTAGAAAACCTCCACATTCCAGGTGGAATATTTCTAGTTCTAGATCAGTGTGACTGGACTTTGGAAGTGTGAAAAAGAAAAGCACAGGCCCAAAATGGAGCCAGTTAGGCCAGGTCACCAAAGTGGACCTTAATACATACTCTAACTACAGTTTCAACCTCATCCATAAATGTAGTCTTCACCTTCAGTGGTAATTTTCTGATTGGTACCAATAAATGAATCTGTCACATGGGCCCTCCTACCCCCCAAAAGAAAGATGAAGTAATCTGCATGATAAAACTCCCTGCTCTTCCAACTAAGGGAAAGGGACTTTGCCTGGAACAATCCTTTCTTTTCTTTTGCTAATAACTTCATTCACCATCTTACTTGTAGAAATCTTATGTTTTGTACAACTCTTTGGAGCATCTCTCTATTTGCTAGATGAGATGCTGCTGGATTCATGAATCAATTAATAAAGCCAATTAGATCTTCAAATTTACTAGGTTGAATTTTTGTTCTTTAATATAGGTAATGTTTTTTGTTTGAATTGACTCATTCTCACTGCTCACTGTTGTGAATCCAGTTTTCCCTAAACATTTTCCCCCACATCGCTTATTTATCCTTTTTATTTATTGTGATAAAATTTACATACCATAGTTCCCTAGGTTTTGACAACACTCTCCTCCCCAAAGCAAAATACCATGAGGCTGTGGGAGTTAGTAACAAGGACAATGATCTCTTGCCCTCTCTGAGGCAGTGGCTGGGTCAAGTGTGTGCAGATATCAAATGAATACACTCTTGGTTGTTGATGCTGGGAACATCCATATGGAGGCAGATAATTCTAAGGAGTTTGTGAGGGGAAATGTCAAGCTATGAGGCAACATTGGAGCAATGCCCTGACATATATACCAAGTTAATAGGAAAGAGAGTTACAGGGTTTTTAATCATGGATTTTAGTAAGGATAAGCTTCCATCATCTGGTTTGCAGATCAGGAATCACTTTTTTTTTTTTTTTTTAAATGTTTTTATTTATTTCTGAGAGAGAGAGAGAGAGAGACAGAGACAGCATGAGTAGCGGGGGAGGATCAGAGAGAGAGGGAGATACAGAATCTGAAGCAGGCTCCAGGCTCTGAGCTAGCTGTCAGCACAGAGCCCAATGAGGGGCTTGAACCCATGAACCGTGAGATCATGACCTGAGCCGAAGTCGGATGCTCAACCAACTGAGCCACCCGGGTGCCCCAGGAATCACCTTGTTATAGCAGAAAACTTGCCCTGCCCTGCTCAGCTGCATGGACTGGGAAGGCCCTCCTTATATCTGGCCAGGGACTGAACTGGGAGAGACCCAGAAGCCTGAGAGAGAGGAAGTAAGTTCTGAGGCTTGGTGTCTGGGTACTCAAAGAGCATCTCAAGCTCTTAAAGGGATTTGTATCTCTTCTATATGGAGTAATACATAAACGTTTTAGCTCAGATCTGTACCTTAATGTTGTAAGCCTCCAGGGAAGGACTCATTTTAATACTTCAGAAAGGCTGCAAAGTATAGAAACACTTAATGATTTAATGTTTACTTCATCCTGACCCTCTTTTTATGCACCAACTTTTTTATTTAAAAAAATTTTTATAGTTTATTATTATTTGAGACAGAGAGACAGAGCATGAGCGGGGGAGGGGCAGAGAAAGAGGGAGACAGAATCTGAAACAGGCTCCAGGCTCTGAGCTGCCAGCACAGAACCCGATGTGGGGCTCGAACCCACGAACCACGAGATCATGACTTGAGCCGATGTTGGATGTTTAACCGACCGAGCCACCCAGGTGCCCCCTTATGCACCAACTTTAAAGATCCTTCAGAACAGGGTGAATATTGGAAGTTACAGGGGTGAGGGAAAATTGACCGAGGGAAAAGAGAAATGCTTTTTCTTTGGCGGATGTGATATTATGACTTACATAATAAGAAATATATATTTGGTCTTCATGCACTGTTCTGGCACATAGCTCCTAAAACCTTGTAATTTCCTATATAAAGACCATAGGAAACATCTTTTCTTATAATGTTTAGTTTTGTTCCTAGTTCCTGAAATAGGTCCAGAACTATAAAGGTGAAAAGTTTCTTTTGTTATTCATAACAAGCCCCTTTCAACCAAACTGTTTATGTTAATGAGGTGACTATAGCAAAGCTCCTAAAGATGAGGACTGTTTGCCAGGGGAACCGATTCTGTGTTTAGAGAGCCGGAATTTTCAGTCTTACTTTTGGGAGATGCCAATGGCCACTGGTTAATCAATCATGCCTATGTAATGAAGCTTCTATAACTGCGTCGTCCCCCCCCCCCCCCAAGTAGAGTTCAGAGAGCTTCAAGGTTTAACACATGGAGGTGGGGTGCACTTGGAAAGGACATGGAAGCTCCATGCCCCTTCCCATACACCTTACTCTATGTATCTGTTTGATCTGGCTGCTTCCGAGTTATA